ATTGAGTCAAATGTGACCTAATCCTCTGGTGGATTTTCAAAGGCAGTTAATTGCACGGGAGATTGCCCATCCTTCTACCCCAGAGCAGCTGGTGGACTCAAATCATGTGCCTTCAGGATTGCAGTGTAGCTTCTTGCCACTAGGACACCAGAACTCCTTGGTGTGCAGTCGTTAAACATAAACCTGCTAACCTAAAGGTCAGTGGTCTGAATCCATTAACCACTCTTTAGGAAAAAAAGATGTAGCTAGCTGTTTTTTTAAAAGACTGCAGTCTTGGAAACCCCACGAGGCATCTCTATCCTGGCTTCTAGGGCTGGAGTTCAACGGCCACAGATTTGGTTTTGTTTTACCAGCCTTCTTGTCTGGGAAAGAAGCTCTGGTAACTCCCTTTGGAGTGGAGGAAAGAGCTGTTGTGACTCTTTGGCAGTTCAAGTCTACCAGTGGTTCTTCAAGAGAAAGATGGGCGAACTACTTCCATGCCACTTACAGCTTCTCCAAAACCCGATGGAAGATATGAGTTGGAGCTGACATGATGCCAATGAGGTTTGAGTTTCTGGGCTGGAAAGTAAAAAGACCTAAGAATCAAAGATGTCAGTACATGGAATCCTGGGGTTTTTTTATTTGCCCAGGTCTTCTGTTCTATCCATTTCTGGCCTAAGAAGAGCAGAGGGACATCAATTTACTGGAATTAAACTTATTCCTCTACTACACTTCCTACTTTCAGTTAACAATTTGCTGGCATGGGAAAGGAAAGCTCAGCATTAAAGCCCTTGTTGCCTGCCTCCCCCTTACCATTAACCTTCATCACACCGCACCCATTCCGGTGATGGCTCCTAACGGTGTCTAAATTATGGTCAGCTTTCTCCAAAGCACAGACTAATTCATCTGGGCCTAAAATGGGCTCAGGAAGAGGTCATATCCTGGCCCTGAAAAGGATAAATGTGGTATGAATTAGTTTTTCTTTAACCAAAGGAATTAACTGCAACAAGGGAGATCTGGTGGCCTAGTCCTTAAGGAGTGGAGCTGCTGACCCAAAGGCTACACTTCTCAAACAGTTCAAATCCATCAGCAGCTCCAAGACAGAGAGAGATGGGCCATCTATTGACTTAGTTCAGTACCTTTCCATGGTTTTTTTTGCTTTTGGCATTTTTACTATAAATTATCACCAGTTCATGATTTTGCCTGTTTTTAAACTTAGTTGATTTGTAAGTGTTCTGTGTATATAGGGTAATTCTCCATTACATTTAGCAAATGTTTTACTTGCCTTATTTTATTCTAGGGAGTTGGTCTGCATTTATATAGCTCATTAGTCTATCAAGTATTTGTTCTGGTGAAAAAAAGTGTGGATAGGGATTTATTTTCCCCCATGGCCTGGCATTTATTCCAATAATATTTATCAAAGATCTAATCTTTCTTCACTGAGCTGAAATATCATCTTGGCAATATGTACAAAACAATCTTTTCTCACCTTAGCATCTACCAAAAGCAACACCATTGTTAGGAAGATCTGTGCAAGGCTAGACTGTCAGGGCTGAGATGGGTGCCCCTCACTCACAGGACTCTCAGGTACCCGGATGTGGGAGACTATGTCCCAGGTATCCATGGACACAACAAACACACAAGGATGTAGAAAACACAAACCACTGAGAAGCTGCAGTGTACTCTTGGAGCTTCTGAAGAGCTTCATAGAGTAAAGAAATTCAGAATGAATGAACCCAGTGTCCTCTGTATGAACACAAATATACAGGTTAGGAGCCAAAGCCTTCTAAGACTCCTTAGTGACTGCCTGCAGTACGATGGCCAATATTACTGGTCTCGGATTTTCACATTTGAAACTTTTCAATGGTTTCAAGTATTTTATCATAATATTAAGGCCTTCTTTGGTGGATTTCGTCCATAAGTAGCAGCTGTCTCCCCTAATAACTCTTCAATGGGTTATCATAATTGAAGTCTCCAAAATGTATCCTCCAGAAGGTTGCTGGTATTTACCGTTGAGTCAGAACTGACCCCTAGCTGATCCTCCAGCAGGTCTTCAGAGGCAATTAATCACACATGAGGAGATTGCCCATCTTTCTGCCATGAAGCAGCTGGTAGATTTGAACTGTGTGCCTTCAAGATTGCAGTGCAGCTTCTTGCCACTAGGCCACCAGTGCTATATTAGTTTTCTGGGACTGCTATAACAAAACACCACAAACTAGGTAGTTTATGAGCAGGAATGTATTGCCTTACAGTTCTGGAAGCAAAGAACCTAAAATAGAGGTACTGGTCATGTCAATTTCTTCTCTGAGATCTAAGAACCCAGAGAAGAAATGTGGTTAATGTCATTCGCCTAGCTTCTACTAATGGTCGATTATCCATGGCATTCTTTGACATGTAGATGCATCATCATGAGGTCACCAACATCTCTGTCTCTGTATATTTCTTCTCCAAAGAATCCTCCACTATGATGACTTCATCTTAACCTATTTCTAAACAAAGCCATACTCACAGACACGGGGATTGAGACCTCAACACATCCTGTTGGGGTACAATATTCAATCTGGTCAAACACCATAGCCTTCAATATGGATTGCCCCTCAACACCAAGAAAACAAAAATCCTCACCCCTAGACTTATAGGTGACACAATGATATATGGCGAAAACATTTAATCTGCCAACAATTTCATCATACTTGGATTCACAACCAATTTACTGAGTAACAGCAGTCAGGAAATCAAGAGAAGTATTGCACTGGGAAAGCCTGTAGTCAGGAATCTCTCTAAATTATTGAGGAGCAATGATGTTAGTTCGAGGACTAAGTTGCGCCTGATTCAGGTCATGGTCTTTTCAGTCACTTGCTATGCATCTGACAGCCAGCCAATGAATAAGAATGACAGAAGAAAAAGTAATGCCTTTGAAATGTGGTATTGGAGAAGAATAATGGATATCTATGGACTGCCAAAAGAACAAACAGACATGTTTAGGAGAAGGAACAGCCAGAGTGTTCTTTGGAGGCAAGGATGATAAAGCTTCATCTTAGATACTTTGGGCATGTTGCTAGGAGAAGCTATTCATTGGAGAGAGACATCATGTTTGGAAAGGTAGAAAGATAATGAAGGAGAAGCTCCTCATACAGGTGGGTTGACACAGTGATTGCATCAATGGCCTGGAGTTTGTGAGGTTGGCACTGAATACAGATCTGTTGTTCATAGGGTGGTTACGAGTCATGTTTGATTTGACAGTACCTAAAAACCAACATTCTGCCTCCAGAAACTCTATGAACATTGACGAATGACGATAGTTATAAAATGGCTTCAGGCCTTTTGTTTTTAAGGTTGCTATGAGTCATGTTCAACTCGAAGGCAATCAACAATAAAAACAACATTTATTCTGTAACAACACTTTACCATTCAGTGCTTGGTGATTTCCCTTTACCAAGCCACACGTGGTATAGACCTTTTTACCTGAAAACCACAGTTCTATCACCTGCCATCAAGAAAACTAATCTTGGAATCATGGTTTAGAGTGAAAAAAGTCTTATTATTATATATGCTAGCATATAGAAGACAGGGGTTATGGGTTTCCAAAATCTGTCTCTGTAAGAAAAGGATCTGAGGAGACATTTGTAGGCTAAGTTATGGGGGAAAAGCCCTGTTTAGTCAACATTTTTAGGAGGGAAAGGTAATGAATAGAAAGGTTATCAGGAGAAATTATGCACATAAAGGCCTTTGCAGATGACCTTTAAAATGTGTCTTTCCAGTTAGTCATTGAGGACTAGTTAGTAGGTTGAGGACATACATTACAGGTTTTCTTCTTTCAAGATTATGTCTATCTGGTTAGGTTCTTTGTCATCAAGGAGTATGCCTTTTCTTTTCTTTTCTTTTTTTATAGGAATTTTTTTAATTTAAATTTATTATTAATTTCAATGAAAATTTACAGAGACTTTGGATTTCCATTCATTCATTGTTGCACTTTTCTCCCCTCCCAACCTCCCCCCTTGTACTCTACCCTCTTGGAAAAGTAAAAGAAAAATTCTTTCATTGTTTTACAAACCCTCCCCCAGGTCCACTCCACCATGTAGCCTTCGCTCTAGACTCCTGTCATGAAAAAAATACCTAATCACATGTCCCTTTAAAACAGTTTTCTCCCTCATCTGTTTCAATGCAGTATACATTATTGAACTCATCTTTCTCAGCCTCTCCCCAACCCCAAGGTCAGTCCTGTTTTACAACAGTGGCACCATGGAGTATTTGTTCTTTTGTGACTGAGATACTTCACTCAGCATAATGTCCTCCAGGGTCACCCATTTTGAATAATATTGCATGAATTCCTTGTTTTTCAATGCAGCATAGTATTCCATTGTGTGAATATACCACAGCTTCTCTATCCATTCGTTTGCTGATGGGCACTTAAGTTGTTTCCAACTCCCTGCTATTGTGAACAAAGCTGCAATAAACATGGTTGTGCATATATCTGCTTGGGTGTCAGGTATGGTCTCTTTGGGGTATAGTCCCAGTAGTGGAATTGCTGGGAACAGTGTGAGCTTGAGGGAGTGCCTGCTCTGTTTCTCAGAAGGCTTTTTTAAAATCAGGCCATCAGTTGGGCCTGAGTTCTCTAAGTCTTCCTCACCTAGAGCTTCACAAAGCTGCCCTTTGTGAAGAAGGGCTCCCACTTCCCTTCCAGGATTACTTCACTTTACACAGTCCATCCTGTTGTCAAACCATATCAGGTGACCAAGAAGGTGACCTATCCTGACTTTACAACTCAAGTAACGTTGGTCCTGACTTTGAAAAGGGGCTGTTGGTGAGGAGTCCCTAAATCATTGTTTCCCAGCAACATTTGGCTGTCTGAAATTAATTTAAAAAAACCATCTGTTTATGAAGAGCTTCCTACTCAAGTTTTTTACTGTGCCGCACATTCACTAAAGAGCAAAAATGCATTGTCAACACGAGTTCCATGGCTGTCAGTCTTGAGTTTCAAGGAGCTGTGTAAGCTGACTGTACCCCTCTCCTCACCTCAGGTGGTGATTGAGTCTGACCTCTACATGCCCCGGCCCCTGGAGCTGCAGTCACATCGCAGTGACTGTCTCCACTGCCTGGACAGCGAGGCCCGCAGGTTTGGCCGGCTGCAGACTGCACAGCAGCAAGGACCCCATTCAACAAAAAACCCTGCCAGGCCTGGTAAGTTCATCCTCACTGGGATTAGCTGGACCAGCCTGGGAAGGTGATGACACAAATACCACTCATAGCCAATCACAATCCTGACAGAGTAGCCACAGGCTGGATCTGCCTCCTTGTCCCATTAATCACCCCAGGTGAGGGTACCACCTGTGGTGTGGGGAGGACTCTTTTTTTCCAGGTAATGCTGAGAAAACACCTGCTGGGTGCCTAGCCTAGCAGCTCCACATTGCCCCTTCCACCTCTAAAATGTTCTACAGCTCAAGGACTCAATTCTGGGCTTCATTGGTCATATTGCTAGGAGAAGTTGCTCCTTGGAGAAAGACATCATGTTTGGTAAGGTAGAAAGATGGTGAAAGAGAGGAAGACCTTCAACCAGGTGTATTGACCCAGTGACTGCAGCAATGCATCATCTCTGAGTGTGTCATAGGTTGTGAGGATGGTACAGGATAGGACAGGGTTCATATATGTTGTTCATAAAGTCACTGTGAGTCATGGTCAACTCAGTGGCACCTAACAACAACAACAGCAACAATGTATAAAATAGGGAGCTCTGGTGGCCTCATCAGTAGAGAGTTGCACTGTCAAACCAAAGGCAGGCAGTTCGCATACACCAGTGGTCTGCTTGAAGCTACACAATCTCCTCTTATGAGATTTACAACCTCTGAAAAGCCACTTCTCGGTCAGCTATGAGTTGTTTCTGACTTGATAGCAATGAGTCTGAGTGTTACTTAATAAAGATGTATTCATTGCTGTATTGTTCCACAAGGAGCATTGCTTAAATGCAATGTGTTGTTGTCATTCTGTACCATCCAGTTAGAAATGACTCAGAGCTAACCCTCCAGAAGGTTTTCAGAGGCTGAAAATTGCAAGGGAGGAGATTGCTCATCTCTCTCCCATGGAGTAGCTGGTAGATTTGAACCTTGTGTCTTTGGGTTGGGAGCACAACTGCTTACCACTAAGTCATCAGAGCTCCTCATGCTGTATGCAATAAGAGGTGAAAATTATTATGCTCTTGAGGGGGTAAAAACTTTTAGCCAGTATAGACAGGGCCCCAGGACCCACAAAACAAAGGAAGCTTGAGTTTTTAGTATTGCGTAGATATGGGGGGATGGGGATGATGTAATTATATTATCAGTAAAACAGTTGTCTTGTAGTAGGTTTTAATTCAAAGCACCCTCGCTGGTTTCAGAGTACAGATGAGCTCTGTTGAGTTGTCAGTGTGTGATTTTTTTGAAAGTGGACTAACAGATCTCCCTTAGGTGATCTTGAACCTCCAACTTTTCACTTAGAAGCCAAGAATTAACTCCTGCCACCATCTGGGGACTCTGGGTCTCCATTTAACTATATAGGCTTTCCCAAAACCGTTTCAAAATCTTATCATTTTAAATTTTCATTGTTGGCTAATTTAACAGCCTATAAAAAGAATTGAGGGACAAATTTGTTTTGGAAACATTATAGTCTTATCTCCAACACTATCCTAAAAATTACTTCCATCTCAAGCAGTTATGGAGCTCTGGTCATCTAGTGCTAAGAAGCTGAGCTGCCATCTCAGAGGCACATGGTTTGAAACCACCAGCTGCTCTGTGGGAAAATTCTCCTTCCATGAGACTAACTGCCTCCAAAAACCTGCTGGAAGGTCAGCTGTGAGTTGGTTCACACTCAATGGCATACAACAACAACAATCCCAAGCAATTAAATAAGAATCTGTGCCAACTCCACGAAGTCAACAGCAACATCTGCCTTTATTTGTTGACGTAAATCTCAGGTTTACTCAAAACTTCTGGGTCATGACAGTGTTATTTGTATGTTTGTTGTTGTTGTTGTTGAGTACCGCAAAGTCAGAACCAAGCCAAGGTTGCCCCTCTGGTGGGTTTTCAGGGGCAGTTAATCAAAAGGGAGGAGATTGTCCATCCTTCTCCAGCAGAGCAACTAGTAGCCTTGAACCTCATGCTTTCAGAATTGAAGCACTGCATCTTGCTACTCGGCCACCTGGAGTGTGTTCATTCTTCCATCTATCTTCTCTCTTTCCTCTTTCATAGATGCTGTTCTAACCCTCAAAGTTTTCTGTACTTATGATCATGCATATCAGAGCGCATACACTGAGCTACATTCTCTAGTTAAGCTATTACCTATACATGTGTATGTAGAGTGAAAGAATTAGGAAAACCACAATCTGTCTCATGCAAATTAAGAGAAAATAGGTTTTTCTCTGTGGTGGGTAGGAATACATGTGTAGAAAGAGAAAAAGAGACAGAATATTTTTCTTCACTACAAAATCATACAGGACATTTGGAGCCATGATTCTTAAATTTTAGTGAACTAGAAGAATCACCTGGGCATGTCATTTAAATGCAGCCTGGATGAGGCTGGTGAGCAGCAAAAATCTAGAGATCATCTAGTGTGACAGTTCTCGGTATGTCCGTATGTCGTTCCCTGAGGAGCAGAACAGCCTCAAGGAGGAACTTGTTAGAAGTGCAAATTTTGAGTCCCACCCCCAACCTACTAAATAAAAAATTCTGGAGTGGGGCCCAGAAATCTGTATTTTAACTAAACTCCCAATTAAGACATAGGTCCCTAGTTGATTAAAAAACCCCCAAACACACACACACAACAATCCACCATTTTGAGCTTAACTCCTAATTGAAAGTTGGCAATTCAAATTCACACAAAAGGACAGCAGAAGAAAAACCCTAGGAATCTACTTTGTTAAAAGTGTGGATGTTTTTATGAGCCAACTCATAGCTACTCCTCGAGAGAGTTTTCAGAGGAAGCAATTGTCCATCTATCTCCCACTGAGCAGCTGGTGGATTTGAACCACCTGCCTTTGGGGTGGCAGCATAACTCCTTACCCACTGGGCTTCCAAAGCTGCCTTTTATTAAGGTGACAGCTGAGAAAAACTATATGGACATGTTCTACTACTTTGTAACACAGGGGGCCACCCTGAGTCAGTGTTGACTTAAGGGCCACTAATAACGAGCAGTTGATTCTAATTTATACTGAAGGATCCGAACCACCACTCCACAGCATCACCTCCTCATCCCACCGCACTCCATCCTCAAATATGCAGAAGAGAAAGCTGAAACCATAGAAACAGTTTGACCTGCTCAAGGTTGCTTTGTTCATTAGCAACGAAGCCTAGATTGAATCGCCAGTCTCCTGATCCCCGAGCTATTACTCTTCCTCCAAAGAAATGTACCTCCCTAATGGTCTAGTTTTAAAGGTCACCTTCACCCCTTTCTGATCAGTCTATGGAGGGGCTGACTGCCTGAGGCTGCCCTTCATTCTGAAAGGCAAGAATAATTAATTATGAATAGAGAGACTCTGCCCAACATGTGATCGTCAGCTCACGTAGGAAATGTGCCAGTCACGTTAAAAAATAAAGCAAAGATTGATCTGGGCATAGCTTCAACTCCTTCAGCTACCCCAAGCTGATAGACCCAGAGGTGTGGGAGAGAGGAAGGGTTTTGAGTCAACGCCAGATTCTGCACAGGGAAGGCTTTACACCAGCCTTGGACCTGAAGTCTCCCGTTCTCTCATCATAAAAAAGCATATTAAAACACAAAGCAGTCTCCAGGGGCCTCTGGTAGGGGAGGAAAAGGGTATTGGGTTTTCTAGCTATAGAAGTCTTCTCCATTCACGTTCATATTCTGGGGAAATCACAGGGGCTTGGATGGCAGACACTCAGATGTTCTCTCCATGAGGCCTCCAGCATCTGAGGAGAGATGAAAGGAGACAATCACACCTCTATATTGATGAGAATTGCCTGGGGAGGGTGTGAGGAGTGCCATACCCACATTAGCTGCCTGCTGGACCCTCCCTGGTGGATAAATAGAACTTCTTATCTATTGATCCACCTCTCCGTTGCCATCTCAGCTAGACCACCATCCACCATTCTAGCCAGAGGCTGGGATATTCCTGCCAACATCCTTGTCCATCCTCCACCCCACTTCTCACAGGCCAAACGCTGACAGATTCTGATCCTAAATACTTCTCATCTTCCATTCTCTGTACTACCTTTTGTCTCTTGTGGGCAACAGCCAACCCTGGCCTTTAGTCTCCAGCCTCTACAAGATTACCAGAGGGATCTTTCTAGACACAAACCTGCTACAGTCATCACACAGCCTTGGGGCCTCATTGCCCTATCTTAGCTCCCCACAACTTAGGAGACCATGTTTCAGGACCTTCAGAACAACCAGCTATTCCATCGCCCCTCAGTGCCATGCTGATCTGTAGGGTGATTCTGACTGCTCTGTTATGTTCTACTCCCCTGGACAATTGCTGAATCCCTTACCACTGTGGGTTGTGTATCTCTTCACTCAGAAAACTCCATCCTTTCTCATCCTGGACTGAGGACACTCAGTAAAGTTTCCTTAGCCCCATAAGATCAGAGATATCAGCTTGCCATTCCCTTAATAACCTTTACCTGACTCTTATGTATCCTAAAACATTCCTTTCTTCATCTACAGAACGGGGACAATTACTATAGCTACCTGATGGGAAGTAAAGTATTACAATGAAATGTGCAAAGAGCTGGAGTCAGAAAATCAAAGGGGCCAAACTCTCTCAGTATTTCTTAAGCTCAAGGAACTGAAAAACAAATTCAAGCCTCAAGTTGCAGTACAAGTAACAGATGCTTTGGGCAGATTATTAAATGATCCAAGGAGCATTAATAGAA